AAACATCCCAATCCATATGTTTTGCAAGGATTAAATGAAGATGAAGAGTTAGAAGGCACAAAGCAAGTTGTCATCCCGTTTTCAATTGGCAAATATCAAGATGAAGTTCTTTGTGATGTTGTACCAATGGATGCTGGACATATACTTTTGGGAAGACCGTGGTAATTCGATAGACGAGTAATCCATGATGGGTTTACAAACAGATTTTCTATAACCCATAATGGCAAGAAATTCACTTTGACGCCACTTTCTCCTAGTCAAGTGAATGAAGAGCAACACCATTTGAAGAAAAGAATGGAATCATTCAAAAACGTTGAAAATAATGAGAATCAAAGAGTAGATGAAGAAAACATTGGAATTAAAAATGAGGGGAATGAGATTGGAGTAGAAAAGAAGACTTTTGAACAAATTTTATCTAACTTTACTCATTCTCCTATTTTTCCTTATGTTTTGCAGGGAAATTCAAAAGACATATCTTTTCGAGGAGATGATTCAATAATCATGGCTTTTGGAGGACTAAAAGATGTGACTTTTGAAGAACCAATAGTCATGAGTTTTGGTGAATCACAAAACATATCTTTTGATATTTCAAAGGTTATACCATTTGAAATTCCAAAAGAAGCATTCCTTGAAGTGCCAAGAGTTGTTTTCGTTGACATTCCAAGTGCATTGTCAACAATGAAAAGAATTCAGCAACCAACTCCCATTAAACATCCACCCTGGTTTGATATGTCAATTCATCTTGTCAATAGTTTTTCATTTACTTATTTTGATTCATTTTGCAGCAATTCGATTCATGTATGTGGCATTATTTTATCAATTTATGATGGCAATGACGATTTAAAGAACATAATTTTTCAAGGAAAGGAGCCAAAGAACGTGACTCTTCAAGAATCTAAGGCTGTAACTCTTCAATCAAAGGACATGATCTTTGGAGGACCAAAGAATGTGTTTTTTAGAATGCCAAAAGTTATGAACGTTCAAAACAACATCTCTTTTGATTTAAAAGACATCACTCTTGGTCATCCAAAAGATGTGAACAGGGAGTATACTTTTAACCTAACAATGATTCATAATTCCCTTACTTATGAAAGTTTTCTTTCTTTTCAGGACAAGGAGGTTCAAGATACTTATTCAAGGTTCATGACTTTTCACAAGGATCCTTTCATAGATCTTTTCGAAAGGGAATGTCTTGAAAAAGTTATTATTGAATGGATATATTTAGAATACAAATCAACAACAATTGAAGGGGCGTACAATTTGGAGAAGTCACATTTCGATTTGAGGACAAATCGCATAAAAGAAGGGGATGATGATGTGATCCTGTCTAGCACCAACTTTCTGCATGACATACTCACATCATTGAAAATCCATCAAGCTCAATATAAGGGAGTTCTACCTTACTTTATATTATATTTACTCATTTATGCACTATATATTATTATGAGCATACATTTTCATATTAGACTATGCTTGAATTATCATAACATATGCATTCATTCATTATGTCCTATGGTTTGCATCATTGATTGATATTCATGCATATAATCTATAGTTATAATAATAATATTCATTCATTATCATATGATGCATGAGTTATTATTATAACCTATAGTTCACATCTTTATATTATGAACATTCTTATTACTTTATAATAATTCATATACTTAGCTTATATTATGCTTTCTTTTGTAGGTACATGTTCGGCCATATGACGGGAGCTGACTTAAAGCTAGCATTGGAGTCCAAGAGCTATGGAAACTTAACTAGGACAACTTCGGGACAGCTCAAGAACATTTTGGGACAAAGTTCCCAGCTGACCCCCGAGCTCATAGCTCACTTGAGCTGGACTTTTGAGCTAGCTAGAGATCTCATTTCAGCTGGAGAGTTGCACCTTCATCTTCACCACACATAGCACTTCAAATATGGTATATGTTAATTTTTGTGGATTCGTACCTTTTCGGGAATAGTTGTCATTCCAAAAGGTGCCTTTTCACAAGGAGCTGACCTATGACTCATCTTCATGTAATTCATCTATGGCCAGCTCATCTTCAGCTCAAACACTTGTAAAGTAGCTCAAATGATGAAAGGTTACCTTCCACATAATGTGACCTTTCATGACAAGTTGCTGCCCATTGAAGGCCATAACACCTAGATGCATGTTGGAAGCCAAGTCACGCCTAGTTGCTGCCATATTCATTCCATGGACTTCAAGACACCATCCTATGGTTGTAACATCACCAAATCCTTGCAAGAAGACCCATGTGCGTTCAAGTAGGCTTCCATGTGCATCATTCAAGCATGTGCACTCCATGTGACATCACATTGGCGTCAAAACACCAAGGGATGCTGCCTATTCGGCCAAAGACTCTTTCCTCTTCATTTTGACGCCCAAATAACTTCCAAATGCATTCAAATCATTCTTAGGGCCGAACCAACACATAACCATTCGACCAAGAGCATGTATCTTCATTTAAATCATGTATTTTCATCAAAAATCATGTATTTTGAAAGGGGGTTTCAACCTTGGCAGAACCATCAAGTATCTTTTCGGCCTAAACCCTTTGAAAACTATAAATAGGCTATTGTATTTCCAATGTAAACACAACCATTTGATCAATTAAAAACTCTTTGTGAGATATTTCTCTCTTCAAGTTCTTTTTAGAACTATATCGATTAAGCAAACTTTCATAGTTTGTGGTGTCAAACCCCTTCCCTTGATACTTCTGGTTCCTAGTTCTTATAACTAGAGGGTCAAAGTCCTTACTACCATCCCTTATAAGACTTATAAGAAACGGGTTTTTGCTTCATATAGCATTGGTTCCTTCTTAGTTTTATAAGATACAATCTGTTCATCACCATCTTCCATCACCATTTTCACGCCTATAACATCACCATAGTCCACCCACCTTCACTCCAAATTCCATTACCATCTTCATCTTTTCACCATTAAATTATCCTTCAATCATCATCAAGGCATTCGTCCATCAACATTATTTGGAGGCCGAATTCATCAATTCTTGAAGGATTCTTCTATCATACTTCCGCAGCCATCTTCGATAACATTTCTATCCATTTTCTTTTCTTATCATTTCCTTTCTTCTTTCATATTCTATTTTAATCATTTCTTTCTTTAATTTTTGCAGATTACTTCCAATTCAACATGTAACATTTGGTGTCTCTCCTAGTTCGGGAAACAACAAGGTTGTCAACTTCTCCATTATTGAAGAAGTCTGGTTAGCCTTACATCATTTTCTCTGGTGGTAAAACATAGTTCTATTAGAGCTTTACTTGGAATAGTTGATATGAGAGACTTTGAGCTTGAGTAGCTAGACGTAAAATGATGTTCTTACATGACGCACACAATATTTACATGAAGTAGCCAGAGGGTTTTATGGTCTCATGAAAGGAGGACCATGTATGTTCATTGGAGAAATCTCTTTATGGACTTAAGTAGTCTCTTAGACAATGGTATACGAGGTTTGATTCTTTTATGGTTTCTCTTGAGTTTAAGCGAAGTAACTTTGATAGTTATTATAACGCCCCGATTTACGAGTTAGTAGTTTTGGGATGAAACCCGAATAAATTTAAATGGGATAAGGAAGTTATTTAAAAGCTTTGGGTCAATTCATGGTTATCTTGGTTTGGGCTTGAGCCCAACAAGGTTTAAAAATGGTGTTTTTGAGTTGAACACCAAAAGATAAGGACTAGGAATGCAGTTTTCCCCTAGTTTGGTCAAAAGGTTGATTTCTTTTACTTGCATGATGAATTTACAACATATTAAAACACCAAAATAAAAAGAAGTTCTTTCATCCTCTTTTCCTTCACCATTGTCTTCTTCCTTCCTTTTAAACTATCTCATCTTTCTTATTGGGCTCAAGTTAAAGGTAGAAACCTATTGATTAACACTTCATTTTCGGTTTAGTGAAGGTAAGTTTCCAAATCGTCTTCTTCAGTTCACCATTGTCTTCTTCCTTCCTTTTAAACTACCTCATCTTTCTTCTTGGGCTCAAGTTAAAGGTAGAAACTTGTTGATCAACATTTCATTTTCGGTTTAGTGAAGGTAAGTTTCCAAATCATTTTCTTCAGAGCTTCAAAATGAGCCCTCAACCATAGAGTTTGACCATGATAGCCATGAAAGGATATCTCAGCTAAGGACTTAGAGGTTAAGGTTTTTGTGTTGAGTCTGTTGGGACTAGATATGTTGGTGGATAAAGTCCATCGTAGATGTTCCGTAGAAATTTAAGATCAAAACTTTCCCATCGACTTGATAGAATTACCATTCTGCGAGTTTGATGTGATTCTTGTGATGGATTGGCTAACTGAGCATGACGCGAGTCTCCATGTTAAAACTCAAGTAGCATTATCAATATTGTTGTTTTCATACTTAGCTAACTTTTCCTCCTTTTAATTATCTGGTAAATTTCACAAAGATCTTCCAAGTTTGGACATAATTCAACTCCAGTCCATTAATTTTAAGAAAAACACATTTAGTCCCAAAAATATAATTGATATTGAAAAGCTAAGCCAGAGTGTTAAGTGGCGATTACAACGGTATTATTGACCTCACTTACCTATTTGTACAAAGACCATAACTTCTCAAGTCTTTCTTTAATATGTCAAAATTCAAGTGGCATTATAAATATTTTTGTTTTCGTACTTACCTAGTCCTTTTATTTGTTAAATTTCACAACAACTGGACTCAGCGAAAAAAAAAATCCATTTTTTATTTTAAATATGAATTATTTGTTTTTCAATATAAAATTTGCTTCAAACTCAAATTGTTTTTTTAAAATTATTTAAAAAATACCCATAGCATGCCTTTTTTTAATACAAGTATTTGTTGATGATTCATAGCCATCAAAAGTTTGAATTTCTATATATAGTCCTAAAAAGTTCATAGCCACTTGTAAAACTTTCTCTGCAGTGGAGAACAATCTGTGCATTTCTGGAGGTATAGCGCCAACAGCAGTGGATGATTTTTCGTGTTGTTCTTTAACTGTCCAGATATGGTAAGATACACAAGGGAGATTCCACCAGCTCATTACTCATTCAAAATAGAAGGATTCTCCTTACTGTCGGATACCAAGGTTGAAAAAATTGAATCTGGTATTTTTGAAGCTGGTGGCTATAAATGATGCGTATCAACTCTATCACTGATCACAATAGCTTCTTACTTTGGATGGACTTAGGGGCTGACGGTATATCATCCCTTAAAATTTTTAAACTTTTATATGATTTAGATATTTTTTTTGTATTTTACATGTATAATCTGTTTTCATCTCTTAAATTTGTCCGTCCCAGTATGAATTTGGTGCTGACCTAGTCATTCATGGTTGGTAGGAGGAAGGTTCTCTACCAAATGGAAACCCAAAAAGCAATGGCAAAGACTTTATTTCTCTCTATTTAGCCATTGAAGAAACAAAATCATTGCCTCAACGATGGGAAGTTAATGCTGATGAGTTCAAATTATTTGTATTTGACCAGAAAGAGAACAACTACTTGACAGTCCAAGGTATTAGAATAGCTTCTTCTTCTTCTTCTTCTTTTGCTAACGAAACTATTTCATCTGGAGCTGAATTTTGTAGATTCTGGTGACGAAAGAATAAAACGTTTTCAGGAAATGAAGACCGAATGGGGATTCTCCAAGTTAATTTCTGGAAACTTTGAAAGATACAAGTAGTAATGAATATCTCTGCAATTACTCCTCCGTATTTGGAGCTGAGGTTTTCGTTATTAAACCATGCGGTAAAAGCGAGTGACTTTCCATGATTAAAAATCCGGACCGTTCTACTCTTACTTGGAACCTGGAGAAATTCTCTACACTCAAAGAGACTAGTTATCTCTCTAAACCCTTCACTGTTGGAGGAAGAAAATGGTACGTTCTTCAATTCCCAAAAATCATATTTGACATGATACAATCTACTAATTTTATTTATACCTGTATTGATTCCTGCGGGAGCCTTAGGGTTTATCCAGAAGGTAATGGGGATACAAAGGGCGATTGACTTTCAGTTTATATAATTTTATCCGATTCTGACACTCTTCCACCTAAAGGAACAGTATATGCACAATATACGATACGGGTACTAGATCAACGACGAGATCAACATGTTAAAAAATCAGGTATAACATCAAAACGACATATATGTTAGTCCGTCCATGAAAAATATAGTGACCAACTTGTAAGGAATGTGAGAACATTTTTATGAACAAAGTTTTCATTTAGTGATAGGGTTACAAATTACATTATAGGATCATCATCTTTTATTTTTGCAGGAAAAAAGTGGTTCTCGGTCGCAAACAAATCATGGGGTTATGACGTAGTACGGCTAGTGACCTGCATGAAAAATCCAAGGGATTCGTTATGAACGATACTTTGATAGTTGAGGCTAAAATTACCCTCATTTCTGTGACTAAATTGTCCCATTAGTATTTTTTTTTGGATAATTCAAAAAAATTTATTACCTAAGAACATAACTTGATTACAAAACCTCGGAATTCAGATAACAAAATAAGACTACTTACAGAAGAATCAAAATCAAAATATTTCCCAATGTTCAACAAGAGAGACATTAACATTGTCATTTATATTTATAGACCTAACCCTCAATTGTAACCTCACAGTCTCCTTAATGGCATGGAAAAGGTCTTGGGCAGATCTGGATCGGTTTTGGAACTGTTGTTTATTGCGTTCGTCCCATAAGATATAGATAAGAGCAGAGAATGCAAGCTTCATGATGGAAGTAATCAAGAATTTTCCCTTAAGTAGAACAGGCCCACATTAAAAGAGCATCCCAAGAGCTAATATTAAAGGTAAAACCATAATGAGAGAAAATAGTATGCCATAGTTGATTAGCTATAGGACATTGGAAAAACAGGTGATCTCTAGTTTCAAACAGGTTATCACCGAAATTGCATTTACAGTCAGAGATTATACCCATTCGAAGGAGTCTAACTTTCGTAGGGAGACGATCAAGAAGAGCCATCCAAATGATCAAGCTATATTTGGGGATATGAAGAGGAAACCAAATGATTTTCTGCCAAGGGACATGAGGACGTCTTTCTCGTAAAGAATCCCAGATTTCCTTCGCTTTAACAGGTCCAGCAGTAAAAAAAGGAAAGGCCTTCGATCGAAGTTTCAAAATGTGCCTAAGACTCCAGCTATAATTAGGCCGAATATCAACATTCCAGAACTCATTGTCCTTTAAAACATAAAATTTAATCCAAGTGACCCAAAGAGAACCCTCTCCTGCTAAAATATTTTTGATAATGTGGATCATACAAGCAGTGTTCCAGGTTTTAAGGTCTTTGATTCCTAGACCCCCTTCAGATTTGAGAGAACAAATATTCTGTCAGCTCACTCTAGCACCAGATGCAGATTTGTCAGATCCTTTCCTGAAGAAACGAGAGCAAAGTTGCTCAATTTTATTTAAAACAGAATTCGACAGAAAAATCTGCCTGCACTAATAATTTGAGATACTAAACATGACTGTTTTAATAAGTTCAAGTCTACCCGCATAGCTTAAAGATTTAGAAGTCCCATTAGTAGTTGATTACTATTTGCTTTATACGTTCTGTTCTAATTAAACTTTATTGATATTTTTATTAAGTTTCTGAGTTTGTCGTTGTTGTTCAAGTATAATAAAAAAAATCGATTATGGGACGACTGTAATAAATATTTCTTTTTACTGTGTTGTATTGGTAAAAGTTGATCTTATTATGTTTGTTCAGAGCATGACTTTTTCTGTTTAGTGCAGCAACCCATGAAATTTCTCAACTCTTTCTCCTAAACTCTGATCAATTCGAACGTGGATGACTGTTTAAAATTTTAAAACTAATTAGGACGAACCAAAAACTCAATAGGAACTGATATATGATCATCCTTAACCTTGATTACGAAGAGGCAGCAAAGTGACACTACGACGGGCGTGATCAAGCAGATCATAAGCGACACGTGGCAGAGCCATCATATGATGATGCACGTGGATTAAGCTAACTCTACCACGTGACCTCCACTCTTCCCTCCTCATCCTGACATCCTAATCTCCAAACTCTTATCCTGTTGCATGCAAAAGCAATGCATTGCATAATGATGAAAAGGAAAAAGTGGAAGATTTGGAGTAAAAGCTCACATCACATGGGTAAATCACAGAATCATTAAAGATGAATATTTTGTTCCCTTATGAGAAAGATTTGATTAAAGCAGGAGTTTGCTGATACAATTATATCGATCAAATTACATATATCTTGTGGTTGAATGATCGGTTTGATAGATCTTGTTTTTCGATCATCAATGAGAATCAATAATCTGTAATTAGCATATTTTGAACGAGTATGTTTTGAGTTTTGGAGGAATACACGGTGTGTTAATGGGACATTAATTTGCAAGTTCCATTTTGCATGGCAGCTACCTATCCAGGCCATCTTCAACATTAAAATTAGCCCGCACTCAATACCCATTCACTGGTCTTGGGACAAGACAACAGTGCTGACCCCGCACACATTGATTAGCCTCGTGATTTGGTGTAGGCATGCAGGTGAAAAGCTACTCACGGGCCCCATCCAAGGACAACTTGTGGGAAGGACTAGGCGGGTAAGAGCCTGCTGTGCGGAGGATCTACTATCATATCAACTCATATCCGACGGATTTTCAAAACATCGTGGTCCCAGCGTTGCTATCCCATTTTTCATCAGTCAACGACCAAGAAAGCCGCTTTATAACCCCAAAATTCACTCATCATGATAAACAAAACCTCACTAGTCACCAAGACCCTTAACATTATAGTTTACACATTCTTCAGAGTGTAGATAGCAAGCGTGATTTTCTTAAACTACGGTTTAGAGCTGAATCATGATTGAATGGGATATTAAACTAGCGTTGAGTCGATTCATGCAATTGTTGCAGCTGAGCCCAAGAAAGAAAAAGAGTTGAATAAAATCATGATTGAGCCAATATGGTCACTGACACAAGTCATGATTTGAATCTCTGCCCGTCTCTCTCTCTCTCTCTCTCTCTTTCTGGCTCTGTTTTATCTCTATATATGTTGTCCCATTCTTTCACCCTTGTGCTGCATCAAAACCAAAAGGCTGTTAATGCTCAAGCCATTTTCTACGCTTATCTTCTTCTGTTTTGCTTTTTCTCATAAGCCAAACACACTAGGGAGAAAAACCAGGAAGTAGGAGGAAAAAGGACAGAAAAAAAATAAGAGATGGAGGATAAAAATGATGGTTTGGGGTTAAGTTTGAGTTTGGGATGTGGTCAGAATCAACCTTCTTTGAAGTTAAATCTCATACCTTTAGCTTCACCCTGCATGCAAAACATTCAGCAGAGGAATATTTGGAATGAGCTGTTTCCGTCTTCTGGTATTTCTTATCTTTGTTCTGTTTCTTGGTTACATGAAATCTTATTGTGCTGAAATCTGATGTTTTGTTGACGTTAAGTTGGCAATGGAGTTTGTAATTGCCATGTTACATTTTTTTATCCTTTTGTGATTAATCATATGCATGCAGATCGAGAGTTGGATACAAGATCGGTTCTTGGTGGAATTGATGTGAACCGAGCACCGGCAACGGCTGAATGCGAGGAGGAAGGAGGGGTCTCCTCGCCCAGTAGCGCCGTTTCTAGCATAAGTGGGAAGAGAAATGAGAGAGACCCTGTGGGTGATGAAACCGAGGCTGCGCGATTCTCGTGCTCTCCTTCCAGTGACGATGACGATGGAGGCGGCGGCGTCGGCGACGATGATGCCTCGAGGAAGAAGCTTAGGCTTTCAAAGGAACAGTCGTTGGTGCTTGAAGAAACCTTCAAGGAACACAGCACCCTTAATCCGGTTAGTTAACTGTTTCTGTCTTTACGTAAATATATTTAAGAATCCGATGTTTGAAGTGAAATGTGGGAGTGGTTTTGTGTTCTAAAGCAGAAGCAAAAGTTGGCACTGGCAATGAAACTGAATCTGAGGCCTAGGCAAGTGGAGGTTTGGTTCCAGAACAGAAGAGCAAGGTAAGTTGATCATTTTTTTAGTAGTTTATCAATAACGCAAACACCATGTAGACCCAACTAATCGATCTGGAATCCTCGAAAAACAACATTGTTTAATTAATAGCCAAGGGTATTACGATGAGATATGGAATTAAGCATTTTCTTGGGTGCATGCACGCACAGGACAAAGTTGAAGCGGACGGAAGCCGACTGTGAGTATCTGAAAAGATGTTGCGACAATCTAACAGAGGAAAACAGAAGGTTGCAGAAGGAAGTGCAGGAGCTTAGAGCATTAAAACTCTCTCCGCAGCTTAACATGCACATCAACCCTCCCACAACACTCACCATGTGCCCTTCTTGTGAGCGTGTATCTTCGTCTTCATCTTCTGCCTCCTCCACCCCAAAGCATCGTCATCTGAGTCCCGATCGTCAAAGATCGGTGCCCGTTAGTCCTTGGGCTGCATTGCCATTGCCCATTACTCATCAACCATTCAATGCCCCTGCTTCTAGATCATAGTTCGAATGTATTTGGAGCATGGATACCATTAAACTAGTGTCCACAGGGGAACGAGCATGCATCCAAAATCAGCTGATTCAGCTCTGTGTTAGCTTCTCATGGATAATGGATCTTAAGGAACAATGTGCTCCTCATGAATGCACTTGTGTCCCTATACATATAACATTTGATCAGAGAATGTTCAGCGATGTAAGGTTACGATCGATTAAAAGATGCAAATTCTAACCATATGCCTTCGCTTGCATTTGTTCTTAATTATATTAAAAGGTATTATTTTTATGAAGTTTTAAATTTGAGCAGATATATTTAAAAATATAAAAAACATTTTTAATAATTTTTTTTTAAACATATATAAACTCATAATTTATCTTTGAAAAATATTAGTTGATCATATTCAATGAGGTGGGGAGGTAAGATAGTATGATGCTCCCAACGTCAGGTTGAGAACAGTTTTCGTGAAAGACCTTCGGCAGTCAGAATTATGAATTGTCCACAGTGGGACTTAATTCCACGACCACAAGGTTAAGAGTGCGCTCTATCAACTTAACTGGACGGACAAATTTTATCTTTGAAAAATCATCCCACGATATCAAATTTCAACAATTAAAAATATTCATAAAGATTAAAAAAAAAGTACCTATCTTACAACGGATAAAAGTACCACCCACCGATAACGGAGCGTCAATGTAACGTAATTGTAAAAGGCCAATTTTGCGTTCTTAACTTGTTCATAATTAACTTTACTCTCTTTGCAACCGAACTATTATTTCCTTGGTTCCAAAGTCTTCCTTTCTTCCACCAATCAATGTATCGTTTAGTGTCCTCTTTTATCCTCGTTTTCACCAAAAAGAAGGAATAGAAACCCAACAAAACAAGCTGAATCAGAGAAGCTTTTGTCCTTTAATAATGGCGGATTCATACCCTCCCTTCACGACCAGACCCTCCACAAAGGCTAACACCATACACAGAAACGATGGTAGTAATAACTGCACGCGTCGCTTTCTTGGTAAGTCCCTGTTTTTCACTTTCTTTCTCATTTCAATCCCATTGTTCCCTTCCCAAGCTCCAGATTTCATCAACCAGACAGTGCTCAACAAGTTTTGGGAACTCATACATCTTTTGTTCATTGGCATTGCCGTTTCTTATGGCTTGTTTGGTCGTAGATCAAATGCTGATAATGCTAGTCATGATGACTCTCACTCGTATGCTTCTGGAATTTCCCATTTTTCGTCTGTTTTTGAAGATGATTTTGATCATTCCATGTACTATAGTGCACAGGGTAAAGCTGGTTCTTTTAATGATAAAAATGGTAGCTTTGAGAACCCTTACGTGGAAAATGTTGTTCAAGCTTGGAGTTCAAAGTATGTTCAAGGGGAATCCATGGTTGTGTTGGCTCAACCCCATTGTGAATTGGGTTCGTTTGTAGATCATAAACCCTTGGGGTTGCCTGTTAGGAGCTTAAAATCCAGGGTTGAACTTGGCAATGGATCAAGTGAGCTTTCTGATACAAGTGCGGTGGATTCATCTGATAGTTCTAATAAGAGTGAAGGTGAGAAGTCTAGTGATTTAGGGTCTGAAAGTTTGGAAGGGAAGTATAATGGGAGTGATGTTTTGGGTTCTCCGATCCCTTGGCGGTCGATATCTGTGAGGATGAGACAAAGAGTTGGCGGAGGCGGCGGTGGTGCCACTCGGCCTTCCCATTTTAGGCCTCTCTCAGTTGATGAAACTCAATTTCAATCACTCAAATCACGGTCTTTCCATTCTGAACTCAGTCCACATTCACCGAGCAGCTTATCTCCCTCACATTCTAGTACATCGGAATCACCGAATTACGACGAATTGAAGGAATTCAGTGACAAAAAAAAGGATGATTCATCAAGTGGTACTAAAGAATGGATTTCAGGTTATCCCCTGAAATTTGATGCAAAGCCTGTGGCTCCCTCTAAAGCTTCCTCGAAACGAAAGCCGTTTCGGACCTTTAGAGGTAGTGGCTGTATCAGAGGTGAAAGAGAGCTGAAATTCGGACGTTATAATCTCTCATCTGGGTTCAAAAGGCAGCATCTTGAAAATAACTCTGACATACAAAACCCAACATTTTCCAAGAACCAGAACCGAGAACAACCAGAGTGTTCGGGGAGTTCGAGGTCGGAGAATTCGGATGAAGAAACCATGGGCGGGACTTTGAGTGTAGCCGGAAGTGATAGTTACGAGGTTGATAGGAAGGCTGGTGAGTTCATAGCCAAGTTCAGAGAGCAGATTAGGCTTCAAAGAACAACATCAATTGATTCACTAAAAGGGCTCAACACATATGGTAATTTTTTCAGATGAAAACAGCTACCTTAACCTTATTATTTGTTATTGTATTATGTCTTGTATAGTTGAAATTTGAAAATAAGACTTCTCTCTCCTTCTTTGATAATGTTTATGCAGAACCATATATTCAGTTGTCAGAACGTGTTTTGAATAATTTCATTGAGTTTTAGTTTGAGTAATGGATGAGAATGAGATGACCATAACAATGTCTCAATCAATATGCTCGGCAACTGTGATATTTTATTGTTAAACCATTAAAAATCTTTATAATAAATACTATTACTTATAAACACCCTAATTAATAAAAAAAATTAATAATAAAATCAATAAAAGGTTTGAAATTCATAACTATGAATAATCATGTTCAAATCTAAATATTTAATAAATATTTTTAAATTCTCGATATAGATATTATCGTTATATTTTCTATTAATAATTTGTTTTACCTCTAAAATTTTATAAATTCGTGAATAGTTTGGGTGGTTACAAAACAATATATATTCATAATATTTTTTAGTCGTTAACAATGCACTAGGGGTGTATTTCGTTCGATTCAATTTTTCACTAAAATATGAATCAAACCGCCCTTTACGGGTTTCTAAAAATTGAAATGATTGACATAAAAATCACGGTTTTCGATTTGGTTTATTTCGGTTTTACAATTTTCAAACTCAACTTAAAAAACAAATTTAAAGCTTAAATCAAGTGAAAATATTGTTAGTTTTAAAATTTTATTTATTTAAAGTTGTCTTATAATAAATTTAAAATGAATTTGTTTTGGATACTTATATTTTTTATTTTTTAAATTCAGTTTGATTCGATTAAAATAGTTTTCATATGGAAAAATGAAACCAAACCGCAAATTAAAAAAATTGAACTGAATTGAATCGCATAATCCGATTCGGATCAGGTTTCAGGTTTCTCGATTTAGTTGCTCAGCTTTACAATGTTCACATACTCTGCAGACGCAATTGTTCGAATCCAATACTTCTAAAAAGAATAATTTTCACTTTAACCATTGAAATCTTTAACTATTAATTTTCTAAAATTAATGATTATATAGAAAAATCAAGTTTTACTTTTTCTCTCTCAATAATATGTTCTAAATTCATAATGAACAAAAAAATCAAACCAACTTTCTCCAAAATATAAATAAGCAATTAAATTCAAGCCAACCACCACCAATTCGATAGCTACACCATATCATTGTTTATTAGAAAAAATAGAAAATTATATTATCTTTGAATAAAATTATAAAAAAGGTTATTTCATTGGCTATAAATAAATACCATTTTACTTAATATTTTATTCTTCTCATGTGTCAGTGTGTCACTATAAAAATATATTTGAATGAAATAGAATATAATTATTAGAATATTACTTAAAATTTTATATAATTTTATTATGACAATTGAATATAATTTTAATGTTTTATAAAATAAAATTTAACTGATTAATATGGAAAAATATTATCTTATGTAGTCAGTAAAAAGGCTTAAATTTTATAAACAAATTAACAAAAACATATTCTCTTTTTCTGAGATACAAAAATATATTATTGAAAAAAGCTAAAATTTATTAAAAAAGTAATTATTAGGTTTATTTTTTAGTTATAACATAAAATGGCCTACCAAAAATCATATTTTAGTTTTTGTACTGAATTATATTAATAAATACGTCAGCCATTTTGCCACTAATCCAATTATTTTTATTGAATTAAAATTACACTTTAAACAATTACTATTGGTTCACTAGCTTGATGCGTCACCACTTTATCCTAACAACGTTGCCGTTTAAGTAAGGCGCCCGCTGTGGCGTTAGGTTTTTGAGTTTCCTTAATCATGGAGATTAGAAATTAATTACTCCTTAATCATCTATATGATGCAGCGTCACTTTGCTGGGGGTTTGTTGGAGAAAAGGAGGGGAGGGAAAAAGTAACCGACTCTGCAAGGAAAGGGCCAAAATTAATGCTTTGTATTTTAAATCCTTTATTTTCGAATTCGTTTCTCTTGGCGTTTCTTCTTCTTTTTCTTCTTCCCCTCCTTAGACAAATTCTCTTTCCCCCCTTTATTTTATCTTAATTTTCAATATCATGCATATTTCTAGGTCAAACATGTTTTCATCTTCCCATAGTTGGATATTTCTTGAAGATCTTAATTTCTGTTGTTTGATTAAAGTTTTCATCTGTTTGAGTTGATGGTCACTTTTGTTTTGTTTCCCCTTGATTACCTTGTTATTCTCTTTGTAGATTCCAATTATTGGTAATTATAATTAAGATCAAAGGATACTTTGTTTTCTTGTAAATTTGAGTGTTTTGCGTGTGATTTTAGGGTTCAAGTGTAATTCTCTCTCTTTTTAAATGTCTGTATCTTTGTGAATTAATCGAGAGGAAAAAGAAAAAAAGAAAAAGAGATGCATATTGAAAATTTGAAGAAAGGGGAGCAGCAGGATCAGGATCAGAGTCAGTTGTGTGGGGATAGCCTGGTTGTTTGGGATGCAAAGAGGGTTTTGGTGGGAGCAGGAGCTCGGGCTCTTTTTTATCCAACGTTGTTATACAATGTTGTCAGGAACAAGATCCAGTCTGAATTTAGGTGGTGGGATAGAGTTGATGAGGTATAATATAAACTCTTTTATGAAATTTAACTTACTGTTGTGTTTCCCCTCTTTTGACAAATATAGTGAATCATGCCTCAAAACCATGAATTATTGAAGTATTTTGTGGCAATTTATGTAGCTATTGGGCAAGGGAAGGGGGTAAGGGTTTGTATCTTATTTATCATATATATTCTTTTTGTTGATTGTAGCTTAGTTTTCCTGGAATCCTAGTTGTTTGGTTTACTAACTCTCATTGATAGTTTAATTACACTGATGTGGATGGAAGTTGCTTGTATTGTTTGCGATTATCTGTAAAATCATTTTCCTTAGCCCACCTTTCCTATGATGAAGCTTTTGTTTGGATATGCATTATGCTGACTATGCATGTTTATGGTTATCTACTAAATTCTTTTTCTCTCACTGCCTTGAATTCAGTTTATTTTATTAGGTGCCGTGCCTTTCCCTGCTGATGTTCCCTGTTGAAGGGACTTGGTGTCTCTGGAGTTGTGACCTTAAATGAACCGTATGAGACTTTGGTCTCAACAACGCTATATCATGTGAGTGCTCTTTTGTTGTCAGCATCTATGCTGATTCTGTAGATGAAGCGTTCAATCGGGATATATGTTCAAATGAATAATCACAAATTTTTAGATAATAGTTGTTTCATTGGAAATATACCTACTCAACCTTGAAAAGTTAATTAACCTGAGCAATCTTTTAGTGAGTGGGAAGTTCAGATGTTGAAGCAAGAGCCTCTTAAGATGAACACGGTTTCATCTTTATCTTCAAGGTACTGGTGTGTATTTTAGGTATGATAAAAACAGCAGTGTCAATGGGATACATTTTTTTATCTCCAATTCGCAGGTTAAGGAGGGCAATTCCTTTCAATGAAGAAGCATTTTAGAAATACTGCATGTTGCTTTTAAGTTTTCTACCTGAAACCTTTTTGTTATTCAGTCATATATATGCATCAAAGCTCAAACGTTTATTATTTTTGTTCCGTAGGCTCATGACATCGACCATTTGGTGATTCCTACAAGAGACTATCTTTTTGCTCCATCATTTGCCGATATTTGCCAAGCTGTAGGTTTCATACATGGTACGTTTCTTCTGGCCTTTATTTTTTGTAGGGTGTATTATTTTCTGGTAAGTGGTAGCAAATTTACTTGCTTCTTGTTCTATGAAGATAATTCATCTGTTGGAAAGACTACTTATGTTCACTGCAAGGCTGGTCGAGGGCGCAGCACAACCATTGTCCTCTGCTACCTGGTAAAATTTAATTTTTCTAAGTTACTTTATGAATCAATATATCTTAAGAAACTTTATATATATATATATGTGTATATATTACACAGGTGGAACATAGGCATATGACACCCGATGCAGCGTATGAATATGTGAGATCTATCAGACCCAGGGTACTTCTGGCTCCTGCACAGCAGCAGGTATTCCCTATTGGATTTTTTTCAGATGTTTTGCGCTTATTGAAGTGGCCGATAACTTCTGGGAGTTTTGTAGTTCATATTATCTATTTCTGTTAAATGAAGGCTGTTCAAGAGTACTATCTCCACAAGGTGAAAAATAATGGAATGCCTGTAAGCTCTTGTTGCATGATAGTAAAGGAAACCCTAACTGTACATGCAAAACAGGATACAGCAGTCTTCGATGATGACTCTGTAGTTGTTGTAACAGAGTCGGACCTCGATGGATATGACGCTAGCTTTGAGACGGATGTTGAGTGAAGAGATGTTTGGTGAGGGAAGCCTGTCTGGCAGGTTGCAGTTTGCTAGTCATGCAGCTATGACCAAACTTTCATGCCTATGGCTTCGTTGCCGTGCGGATGAAAAGTCTTCTAGGAAGCTATTGAGCAGTCTTGGTATCGACATTCAGGTTTATTGAGTTGTCTGTATCGAGTCAAGCTGTTAATTTGAGTCTTTTTTACGAAGTGCATTGTGTTCGTTTCATGTTTTTTTCTTCCATTTGCGGTTCAGTTATTTCAGAGAATGGGATATTTAATATTTGATTCCGGTTTGACTCGAATGTTGAGATGGTCAATGAAGAGAGGATGGATAACAAGTTTAGGTTTCATATCTGAATTCCTGAGACATAGATTGAGGAAGCATGCTTGGTGACATTGGTTGGCAATGGCACTGTGTTGCATGAAAATGCTTCAATTTTACTGCAAAATTATTAGTTGTCTAAGATTAGGAAAGTGTTTCTTTTTTGTAAAAGCTTCCAATACAACTTGGATTTGAAGGTTTCCAAGTTTTTAAATCTTTTTCATTCCAGCAAAAATGTATTAATATTTAAATGAAAATCTCAGCCAATTTTCTTGGGTCATGCCCTGTCGATAAATTTTGCTTAACCGATATTTGATTAATTCTTTTAAGGTGCCAGGAAAATCATGTTTAACATTTTTATAGTGAAATTTAAATAGAAAATTATTTGTTAAATTAGAATGTTAAACAAACCAAATCAACTAGGATTTGAATACATTATTTTAGGATAAGGTACATAAATGACCCTCTGACTATATAATGTTATTTTGTTGAGTTTCTTGATTAATAAAAGTTACAAAATGGGTTCTCGATTATAAGTTAATATTTTGTTGAGTTTCATGACTATTAAAAGTTACAAATTGATTATTCGACTATTCAATTTTCTAAACTCGTCATTTTTCGTCAAAAATTGACAATCGTCTGAGGTGGACTTTAACATGCTGACTAGGATATGATAAAATCATATTTTAATGATATCTACTAGCATTGTCGTTAGTTTTAATCTTGATGTTGGTGTTTCAAGCATTGGCTCGACGATAAAATATAAACAGAGAATTAATCCACAAAATATAACTCAAACATTTATGAGGTCAATTTTTTTTATATTTCAGTCAACAAGTTAACGTCTTAACTTAGACAACCACTAATTTTTTAACAAAAAAGAACGAGTTTGAAACATATGAATAAGTGATCATTTTGTAATTTTCAATAATTGGAGAACTCAACAAAATAATGACATATAATCGGGAGATCATTTTTTAACTTTTAATAATTAGGGAACTCAAAAAAGTAATGTCCTACAATCGAAAAATCATGTGTATACTTTACCCATTATTTTAAGTATATTTCATTTTAAATAAAATCTAGGGTTATATGTTTAGTACCTAAACTATCAGTTTTGATCCATTTTAGTACCTAAACTTTTATTTTTTTTAAAGTTATACCTAACATTTAGTTTTTGTTTCATTTTAGTACCTCACCCTTAAGTTTTTAATAGCACAACATTTTTTTGAGTAAATTTCCTCATTCATCCCTTACTATCTTCTCACTCCTATTTTGGTACTATAGTTTAAAATTTTAAAATTTAACTACTCAACTTTCAAATTGCTCTTATTTTAGTCACTCTAATTTATTTTATTAATAATTTTCGTAACATGATATTTTTTTATATTATTTTATTAACATATGATTAAAAACAAAAAATAAAATTGAAAGTTAGAGCGATTAAATTAGGAGTAATTTGAAAGTTAAGTAATTAAATTAAAAAAAAAATATTAAACTTTAGTTATCAAAATCGGAGTGAGAAGATAGTTGAACAATGAATGATGCAATTTACCTATAAAGATGTCACTTACAAATCACTCGATAAATTTTTAACGACGATATACTAAAACGAAACAAAAGTTAAACGTTAGATATGATTTTGAAAAAAATAAAAGTTTAAGTACTAAAACGGATCGAAACTTATAGTTTAAATATTAAATGCATACTATAGAGTCAAAGAGATAATTTGACCCAGACATTTTAGGTGAAATATTGGGTCAGATTTGACTAACCAGCGGCTGCAAATGTGGACTCACCGTTGAGAACAACCATGACACCAAAGCGTAATCTGAACAACATACAAATTACAAATTCATGCAACATTTAGTATATTATTATTAAAAAGAAGAAATTGAATATATTCCGAGTAGATATCCTTTTTATTTTGTTCATTGTTTCATCATTATAAAAGGGGAAAAACGTTGTGTTTCCGTACACAAGTAATTTAGTTTCCTTTGGTAAAAGAAACATATAACATGTGATGAAAAATGATAGCCCAAGATGAATGGCTGAGGAAGAAGAACATTCATGGAAATGTATGTTTCATGTCCTCAACCCTTACCAAGTTTTCACTCGCACTGTAAAAATATCATACAATCCACAAGATGCTAGCTGTTTTAGAACAAAAACAAGGAATGGAAAACAATGTGGAGAATATCTCGGATTCAGAGTTCAACATCTTTGAATCTCTTCAACGCTATCCAGCAACAACAGATGCTGTTCTTGAACGTTGCTATAGCAGAAGTTAAAGCTTCAGTAGTGTTTTCTTTAATGAAAGTTGGGGTGATCTTCCATTAAAGATGGATGATTCCGAGGATATGTTGATTTACAGTGCTTTGCGTGAGGCGGCGAACTCCGGGTCGAGTGCACCCGACGAGGTTGATTTAAAAACGGTTCCTGGAGCTGTTGGGAACTCTTTTCAGGTGGAGGCGGCGGCGGTACGGCCGGGGGGGATGCTTTTTAAAGGGGTGAGAAGAAGGCCGTGGGGAAAGTATGCGGCGGAGATCAGCAACCCCACGTATTACAGGTTCAAACTTAGTAACCCATATGAAGATGATTATAATACAAATAAATAATTAAAACAGAACATGTGTCTATTTGTTTATTTATTTAAACAATTTGAAAATGTTGTTTCAATCTCATTACTGAGAAACTTCCTCTAACGAAAACCAGGATTCGTACAAATGATAGTTTAATACAAACTCTCAAAGTATACATAAGCAAAGAGGAACTAAATCAAGCCATCCAGCTCCAGTTTAAATCCACAACTCCCAGTCACAGGTTGATTTCCTTTTCGGGTTCCAGCAACAAAGCAAATATGAACTGCGAAACTGCTTCAGAATTTGATGTCGGTCTCTTGGACTCGATTCGTCGGTTTCTTTTGGAAGATGATGATTTTGAAACTCAATATCCATCGGATCTGATGGATTGTTCCACAGCTGATGCAATCGCTATTGATGTTGATCAATGGGTGACTTTTGGTCAGTTGTTCGATGCAGCTGCTGATATTGTTTCATTTTCTAGCTCCGAAATGACTTCTGGGGTGGCGACTGAAAGTGTCAGTAAATCTCACGCGCCGCCGAAGAAGGTGCATTATAAGGGTGTGAGGAGAAGGCCATGGGGGACATACGCGGCGGAGATAAGGGATCCCAAAAGGAGTGGTTCGAGAATCTGGCTTACGATAAAGCGGCCTTTCAAATGCGCGGCGCAAAAGCCAAGCTGAATTTTCCTCACCTTGTTGGCTCCGATCAGGTGGAGCCGGTGAGAGTGGCCAATAACAAGCGGCGGTCACTGGAGTCTTGTTCATCTTGGTCATCGGCTCAGTCGCCTTCCTCTTCGTCATTCACGTCGGATGATAGAACTCCCAAATCGAAACGGAGGATGATCGACCGTAACTTGTAAAGATTCTCTCCATTCATTTTCAATATTATCAACCATTCAACAAAATAGGAATAGTTAATGTTCTTGTGTACATAACTTCTTCGCTCAAAGTTTTATTGCACTTGTTTTTGAACTCCATATTTGACTTGCAAAATGAAATATAAACCTTCATTATGCCTACTTTGGTAAGTAGCTGAAGGATTTGACTGGAGACTTACATTAGACTTGTTTGATGTCCCGCGAACAGAAGAGTTGTAAAGGCTTAAAGTTAAGGATTTGCAAAACTTATTTTGTTTCGAAAAATGACCCCATCCTTTGAAAAACAACCCTCACAACCATGACTTTGTAGGGGTGTTTAAACTTCGGTTAAAATAGATTTAACTGGTCGAATCGAAGTTTTTTCGATTAATTTTAAGTTTAATTGGTTAATGGTTAATTCAGTTCGAAATTTTTTAGAGAAAAATTAAATAAAAAAATAAAAAAACGTAAGATGGTGATGATGCAAACAATCCGAACAGTGGTTGTCAATTTGAAAGTTCAAAATTTTTTAGAGAAAAATTAAATAAAAAAAATACTTTAACGTGTTATATTAATTTTTTAAAATGACAAGTCAACTGACTACAACGATGATGGTAATAATGGTGAATTAAAAGTTAATAATAATAGGATAAATTACACATTTAATATCTAAACTATTAATTTTGGTATGTTTTAGTACTTAAATTTTTTATTTTTTTCAAAACCATACATAAGTTTAGTTTTTGTTTCATTTTAATATCTCGTTCAAAGTTTAACGTTGTGTTTTGAAAAAAAATAAAGTTTAGATAATAAAACGGAGCAAAACTAATGTTTTAGGTACTAAATACGATAAGTTTTTAACATCGGAACGCTAAAATGAAACGAAAAACTAAACTTTGGTATGATTTTGAAAAATAAATGAAAGTTTAAGTACTAAAACGAATTAAAACTTATATTTTATGTACTAAATGCATAATTTACCCATAATTGTATTATAAGTTAAAGTTTAATGACCAAAATACAGATACTCTGAACTTTAAGGATCATTTAAAAAAAATACCTTTTAAAAAATAAGAGGGAAGCAGAGGGAATCAATCAAATAAATTAATTCAATAGATGACTTTTAATTAATTAAATAATTAGAATATGAACCACTGAAGCAGTCCAAGTACATTTCCGAATATTCCAACTTACTACACCAGATGATGATCATAACAATAATAATTAAACCCTAGCACGTGCCTATTTTTTTATTATTATAAAAAAGTAAAATAAAATTAATAAATGATGAAGCATTTCAAAAACGTGATGGAAATCGAAACTTCCTATGAAGAAAGCCATGAATAATAATAATAGTTTAATACGAGGTCTCATCGTATATATAGTCCAAGCTGGAACTCATGGAAGCCAAATCATCCAATTCCGGTTTAAATCCTCAGCTACAGTGGCAACAGATTAGGAAGATATGCACTGTGAAACTACCTCAGAATTTGATCCCGGTTCCTTGGACTCGATTCGTCGGTATCTTTTCGAAGAAGATGATTGTGGAATTCAATTTCCAGCTACGTTTCCGGAAAATGAAGCAAGCGCTCAAGTTCCGATTCCAACGGATCAGACGGATTGTTCCGATACGGATGGTGCCGCTATTAACGTTGATCAATGGATAACCTTTGATCAATTATTTGATGCGGCGGAGGCTGCCGCTGTTGATGTCTCAGTTCCCAGCTGCGAAGCGACTTCTGAGGTGGCGACTGCGATCCACACGCCGCCGAGGAAGGTGCGTTACAAAGGCGTCAGGAGAAGGCCATGGGGGACATACGCGGCGGAGATAAGGGATCCCAAAAGAAATGGTGCCAGAATCTGGCTCGGTGCTTACGAGACGCCCGAAGATGCTGCACTGGCTTACGATAAAGCCGCTTTTGAGATGCGCGGCGCAAAAGCCAAGCTGAATTTTCCACACCTTGTTGGCTCGGCTCAGATGGAGCCTGTGAGACTGGGCAATAACAAGCGAAGGTCTCCGGTGCCCTGTTCGTCTAGAACTCCCGAGTTGAAACGGAGGATAAGCAAGTGTGAATAATAGCCTGGATTTGAATTCTGATTTTATTCAATTTTGACGAACAATTAATTCCCTCTCAACAACTTTTGTATTTATAAATCATTCACCCAGAATTTTAGTAACACGTGCAGAAAGTTTCTTAAGGAAACTACACAGAAACTTTTGTACAATGCATGAAGTGCACACCCTAAAAAGGTACAATAACTTGAATTGTAAATCTTGGGTATCTAATAGCTTTAAATGTTTTAGCTGCACCACTAGATCAGGTCCTGTTCTTCCCAGATCAAAAAGGAATAGACAAAGGGTTCATTACAAGTTGGTGTCATTCTCAAATTTTAAAGCAACAATCACAAAAACAGTCAGCAGTATCACTGTCCCAAAATCAGTAGGTTCAAAGAATGCATTTTGATCCAAAGTTTTCTCAATCCAATTAATAAGCATAATTTTTAGAAGTCACAATAACCAATAATTTTTAGAAGTCACAATAACCAAATATCTAGTGAACTCAATAGAGTATAGAAATATGCATCACTATCAGGCTGCAGATGACTGAAAATCAATAGACACCATGAAAACCATATTGAGTCTTCAGTAGAGAGAGAACAAACATATTTAACGATATAAAAAGGAAGTTAAAAAACTAGGAAAAAAAGTAACCTCTTTGGTCGGCTTCGGTCTTCTTCATAGTCCATCAGTCCACCAGGTTCAGAGTACAATTCCTCAAGCCCTCGGATGTCAACTTCGGCCTGCTTACAGTGTGTAACTTCTGCCACAATGTAAGTAAGCCCCATCGACCAACATATCTTTATATTGACAGAGTGAAATCATAGCACCTGTTAACCCCCTCCCCCCCTTTTTGCATCTTAACCAGTAAGCTCCAATATTTTCTGTATATGCATTTTTGCAAGAACTAAAGGACTCTCTTTCCCACAATCACCCCTCTCCAAAACAATTTTTCATTATCTTAGAAGTGTGTTGAAAATCAAAATTAGTTTTAATTTCTATAATGCTTATATAAAATTAGTTTAAAAACTAAAAGACAGGACTAAGAAACTAATAAAAACACTTTTCAGCCACATCTACATTCTCATGCGTTTTAATGATTCAATACTGAATTATAGCAAAAAGGCAATCAATACAAAAGGCAATTTGGATTCAACTGACCTTGGCAGCGATGGACTTCTTTACTTCCTCCACCCTATCTTCAACCTCCTTTCGATGTTTTTTGTTCTCCTCACTCATAGCATCAGCCCATTTTATCTTCTCTTGAATTGAGATTAGTAAGTTGTCTGATGTTTCCAACCTAGGTAAATTTAACTTTGTATTACACCAGGCCTACTAGGAGTAGCTAACTCTAATTTAACAAATCCAAAAGGTAATACAAGATCACACAGTAGAGACTATAACTGCAGCATGGAAGAGGCTAAATAGCATGCTCTATTAAAAATCAGAGATGTTACCAGCCGGACAGTGTTTGGATCATACTCCCTAGTTGTCCTGACCTCAAATCCCTCCCGGCAGCAAAGTGGATCTTCCAAAACAAACATTATTGATTTTAACAAGCGAAGAAAAATAAATGAAAAGGAAAATTCTTGAGAGGTAAGAACAGTAAACTCATACCTCAAAACATCTTCGCAGTTGATCAAGCTTTCCTCTGACTATACCCTAACAAAAAGGTTAGAAAAGGAAAAAAAATCAGCACATTTTCAGTTTACATGCACCTCCTGTACAAATCACTTCCTTTAAAGTTCACAAAACACTCAATGGGAAAGGCAAGTGCCCCCTCCCCCTCTCTTGTTCCCAATCCTTCCTGATGCTATTTGAACTTTCCTTTAGTAGTCACACCCAATCCTTCCTCAAAGCATAGTGTGATCTAAGGTAGTGGGTGTAACCAGAAAAAAAAAAGTTCAAATAGTTCTCAGTGTTCCTTATAATTCAATAAAGCTCCCCGTAGGGAAGGCAGGTATCCCCTCTCCCCTCTTCCTCTTCATTTCCAAACCATAGCGAAAGCAAAGTTTGATCAAGTTATTGAGCACCTAATCTTTCATGAAAGCATAGTGTAATGCTATTTTGAACTTTTATTTGGAAGTCACACCCAATCCTTCCTGAAAATAGAGTGTGATCTAAGGTGTTTGGTGTAACCAGCAAAAGAAAGTTTAAATAGCTCTCATTGTCCCTTAAAAGTCAACAAAACACCTCGTAGGGAAGGCAGTTGTCCCCACCCCTTTTCCTCTTCATTCCCAAACCCTAAAGAAAAAGTTTAATCTAAGTTATCACCTAGTCCTCCTTAAAAACAGAGTGATGCTATTTAAACTTTCCTTTGTAATCACGCCCAATCTTTCCTAAAAGCAAAGTGTGATCTAAGGTATTAGGTGTAACCAGCCAAGAAAAGTTCAAATAGCTCTCAATATTCAACAAAACAGCCGTAGGAAAGGCAGGTGTCCCTTCCCCTTTTCCTCTTCATTCCAAACCCTAGCGAAAGCAAAATATGATCTAAGTTATTGAGCACCCAATCCTTCATGAAAGTAGTGTGTGATGCTATTTGAACTTTCCTTTGGTATTCACACCAAATCCTTCCTAGAAATAGAGTGTGATCTAAGGTATTGGGTGTAACTAGTAAAGGAAAATTCAAATAACTCTCGTGTCTCATAAAATTCAACAAAGCACCCTGCTGCCCCTTCCCACCTTTTCCTCTTCATTCTCATATCTAGCAAAAGAAAAATTTGATCTAAGTTATTGAGCACCCAATCCTTCCTGAAAGCAGAGTGTTATTTGAACTTTCCTTTGGTAGCCACAATCAATCATTCGTGAAAGTAAAGTGTGATTTAAGGTATTCGATATAACAAGTAAAGGAAAGTTCAAACAACTCTCAATGTCTCTTAATATTCAACAAAGCACCCCATAAGGAAGGTAATTGTCCCCTACCCCTTTTCTTCTTCATTCATAAATCGTAGCGAAAGTAAAGTTCGATCTAAGTTGAGCACCCAATCCTTTCTGAAAGCATAGTGTGATGCTATTTGAACTTTCCTTTGGTAATCACACCCATTCCTTCCTAAAAGCAGAATGTGAACTAAAATATTAGGTGTAACCAGCAAAAGAAAGTTCAAATAGCTTTTAATGTCCCTTAAATTCAACAAAGCAACCTGTAGGGAAGTCAAGTGTCCCTACCCCCTCTTTCTCTTTATTCCCAAACCCTAGCGAAAGTAAGGTTTGTTCTAAGTTATTGAGCACCCAATCCTTCATGAAATCAAAGTGTGATGTTATTTGAACTTTCCTTTGGTAGTCATACCCAATCCTATCTGAAAGTAAACTGTGATCTAAAGTACTGGGTGTAGCCAGCAAAAGAAAGTTCGAATTGCTCTCAATGTCCCTTAAAATTCAATAAAGCACTTCGTAAGCATGTGTCCCCTCTCCCTTTTCCTCTTGATTCCCAAACCCTAACAAAAGCAATAGCTTGATCTAAGTTATAAATCACTCAATCCTTCTTGAAAGTAGAGCATGATGCTATTTGTAGTTTCCTTTGGTAATCACATCAAATCCTTCTTGAAAACAGAGTGTGATCTAAGTTATTGGATGTAACCAGCAAAGGAAAATTCAAATATCTCTCAATGTCCCTTAAAATTCAATAAAGCACCCTGTAGGGAAGGCACATGTCCCCGCCCCCTCTTTCTCTTCATTCCCAAACCTTGGCAAAAACAAAGTTTGATCTAATTTATTGAGCACCTAATCCTTCTAAAAGAAAAGTGTGATGCAATTTAAACTTTCCTTTGGTAGTCACATCCAAGCCTCCCTGAAAGTAGAGTGTGATCTTTCTTTAAAGCAAAGTGTGATCTAAGGTATTAGATCTAACCAGTAAAGAAAAGTTCAAATATCTCTCAGTGTCCCTTAAAGTTCAACAAAGCACCCTGTAAGGAAGGCAAGTGTCCCCTCCCCACTCTTTCTCTTCATTCCTAAACCTTAGCGAAAGCGAAGTTTGATCTAAGTTACTAAGCACCCAATCCTCCCTGAAAGTAGAGTGTGATGCGATTTGTACTTTTCTTTGGTAATCACATCCACTCCTTCTTGAAAGCATAGTGTGATCTAATGTATTAGATGTAACCAACAAAGGAAAATTCAAATAGCTCTGAGTGTCCCTTAAAATTCAATAAAGCACCGGGTAAAGAAGGCAAGTGTTCCCTCCCCCTCTTTCTCTTCATTCCTGAACCTTAGCGAAAGCAAATTTGATCTAAATTAGCACCCATCCTCCCTGAAAGTAGAGTGTGATCCATTTTTAGCTTTCCTTTTGTAGTCACACCCGATCATTCCTGAAAGGATAGTGTGATCTAAGTTATTGAGCACTCAATCCTTTCTAAAAGCATAATGTGATGTTATTGGAACTTTCCTTTGGTAGTCACACCCAATCCTTCTTGAAAGGAGAGTGTGATCTAAGGTATTGGGTGTAACCATCAAAGAAAGGTTCAAATAACTCTCAATGCTCCTTAAAATTTAACAAAGCACCACGAAGGGAAGAGAAGTGTCACATCCCCTCTTCCTCTTCATTCTCAAACCCTAGCAAAAGCAAAGTTTGATCTATGTTATTGAGCACCCAATCCTTTTTAAAAGTTGAGTGTGATGTTATTTGAACTTTTCTTTAGTAGTCACACCCAATCCTTCCTGAAAGCAGAGTATAATCTAAGGTATTGAGTGTAACCAACAAAGGAAAGTTCAAATAGCTCTCAATATCCCTTAAAATTTAATAATGCACCCAATAGGGAATGGCAGGTATTCCCCCTTTCTTCCTCTTCATTCCAAACCCTAACGAAAGCAAAGTTTAATCTAAGTTATTGAGCACCCAATTTTTCCTGAAAGCAAAGTGTGATCCTATTTTAACTTTCTTTTGGTAGTCTCACTCAATCTTTTCTGAAAGCAGAGTGTGATCTAAGATATTGGGTGTAACCAGTAAAGAAAAGTTCAAATAGCTCTCAGTATCCCTTAAAATTTAACAAAGCACCCTATAGGAAAGGCAAGTGTCCCCTCCCCTCTTCCTCTTCATTCTCAAACCCTAACGAAAGAAAAGTTTGATCTAAGTTATTGAGCACTCAATCCTTCCTGAAAGCAAATTGTGTTACTATTTGGACTTTCTTTTAGTAGTCACACCCAATCATTCCTGAAACACATTGTGATATAAGGTATTGGGTGTAACCAACAAATGAAAGTTCAAATAGCTCTAAATGTCCCTCAAAATTCAAAAAAGCACCTCGTAGGGAAAACAAGTGTCCCTTCCCCCTCTTCCTCTTAATTCCCAAACCCTAGTGAAAGGAATGTTTGATCTAAGTTATTGAGCACAATCAACAAAGGGGACTATAGAAAGTTCTAGGTACACATTTGTAAAGCAAAACATATGTTATTATGTCGTAATGTAGTAAATCCTAGGATGAAAAAGGATAAGAGAATCAATCTGGGAGACTACCAACCGCATACATGCACTCATTGATAAGAAAATCTTCAAGTTCACGGACATTGGTGACATCTAACTCCAGCATTAGTTGATCATATGGGAGTACCTGGTGAAGATGTTTAAAATGGTAAATAAAATAAGGCAACCAACATTTAAAGCCAAAAGTGTAATCGTTAGAAAAAGATTCCCCACCAACTATACATATATCCCTTTTAGTTAGAAAGTGGAACAAAACAATTCAGAAAAGGCATTTAAAATTTTAAAGAAATTCTAAAGACCCTGTTCCATCATGTTACAAAGTCAGTTACCTCAAAGTGGCATGTTTGATGAATATCAAAATGACTATAACCTCTACAATGGAACAAGACTGATAATTAGCATATTTCGATAAGCAAATGCCTAATGGATAAGAAATTACATGCAATGCAACTATATGGAACCATACACCACTAAACGTTCTATGTCTTCTTTTGGAAACTTACACGGATCATGAAACACCAATATAAATCCAGTGTAAGCAGTCCGGTAAAAATCATTAGAGGTCAAATTATTCTGCTCCATTTTACCTTTTTTTTATCCTTTAAAATTGATTCTTATTCAGAGACCTTGTCCTTGGGTGGCTTGAGTTCTTCAGGACTGGAATTGAATCTCACATTGGTTTTATCTCATGTACCGTAGATTTTATCTGGTTACAAGGTAGGTGAACCATTATGGTTCACTGCTCTGCCTTGCCACTTGATCACCCTCTCTGACAACATTTGCCTTGTGTAGTCTAGATCCTTTTAATTCTGTGGCCCCACTACCACTTGACAGTGTTTGTAACATCCCAAACTATGGGTTAGTGACCAAATTGTAAAGTTTTAGAATTTGGTGACTAAAGTAGAAGAATGGATTAGTTCAATGATTTATTTGAAAGTATTTCCTAAAAGTTGTTAGTAATTATTAAAGGAACTAAAGGGTAAAATGGTCATTTGATCATTTAAGGGAATTAAAAATGTGATAGTGGGGATATATATTTTTACATGTGGGAGTGTAGGAAACCAAAAACAATGTTTCTAGAATTCTCTTATCCTCCTTTCTTCTTTGTGCGTGAAGCTCCAGCTCAAAGGTGAGTTTCTTAATTAGTTGGTTATTTGTTGAATTAAAAGTTGGGTTATGATTCTTAGGTGATACTTAAGCTTAAGAAAAGCTTAAGTTATCTTAAAATCAAAAGATAAATGAGTTAGAGAAGATTAAAGATTTGGAGTTCTTGAGTGAATTTCTGGAATGTAGTTGATAAGTTGAACTTGAAGTTAAATTTGACTTGTCATCAGCTTAATTAAGAAGTATTAAGTGTTAGAATTGGATTTGAAACATGTGGAAAATAGGGTATGATTCTTGAAGTTCCTAAAGAGGAGAGGATATTAAGGTTAAAGATGAGATAAATGAATATTAATGAGTTTAAGTATGTATATGTAAGTTAGGAATATGAAAGAGGTTGAAATATGAAGGATTTAATCAAAAAAGAATGAATTTTCGGGTTCAATAAGAGGATTCTGGGCAGAGTGCATCGATGCATATTCATAGTGCATCGATGCATCAAGATTAAAACCCATAAATTGTTTAAAGGTGTATCGATGCACAGGTAGTGCATCGATGCACTCTTTTAAAATAAAAACATTGAATGCAATTAGTGTATCGATGCATAAGGCATGCATCGATGCATCCCAGTAATAAACAAACATCAAATGTATTTTGTGCACCGATGCACAAGTAGTGCATCGATTCATCGGTAGGGAATGCATCGATGCACTGCACATTCTCTAGTATATGAGGTTCAATGGAAAATAAGACTTGCGATAAGTCTATTTCCAATAGTGAAAAACATGAGTATATGTGTTATCGGTATGAATATGGTAAGTAAAAGGGATAAATGGTGAGGATAAGAATAATAATAATAAGGATAATGAAATGATAGATATATGTGAATATATGTATTGAGGTGTTTTTGTATGTATTGTAAGATTATATGTTTATGTGATAACATGATGAGATGACAATGATTTACATATCATATGAACACATGAGAAATGTTATGAGCTATATGAAAGAAAAAGTATATGTGTTACGTGAAGGTGAATCATATGTTTATATAAATATGAACTCATATGAGAATTGACATGAACTACGTGATTACATGTATATGTGAATGAAACCATGAGCTTATATGAATATATGATATGGTTACATGAATATGTAAAAGGATATAAAAGATAATGCTCATGTTATGTGTCATGAGAGCTAGGGGTATAGTTGGCATGCCAAGAGTCGAGGGTCTATGTGGTCCTTCGGGACATATATGTATTATTTGGAACATGTGTGAAGTCTGGTGAGACACATACTTGATCCTTGACATATGTATATGATTCTTAAGGAATGATATGTGGTCCTTCGGGACATATATGTATTCTTTGGAACATGTGTGAAGTCTGGTGAGACACATACTTGATCCCTAGTATATGTATATGATTCTTAAGGAATGATATGTGGTCCTTATGGACATTATTATATGGCACTACGGTGCAATTCTACGCGGCACTCCGGTGCAATTATATGTGGCACTTCGGTGCAATTATATGAGCTGTGGTGACAACATTAGTGCACAACCTCTATGTACTCGCATATCTTTAGTTCTCACATGTGTATCATGGGCTATTAAATAGATAATATTAATAAAAGTGATATGATAATATATTTGTTTCCTTGTGGAATTTTATGTGTGATATTGATTGTACAAATGGTAACTTATAAGACCATATGATAAAAGGAATCAATGATAGTATATATATATGGTTTACATGACATGATATATATATGTGCAATTGGTTATGGTATATGTTATATGATATACATGAGTACAGGTTAAAGTATATGTGAATGAGTATAATTGATTGAAATGATGATATATTAATAAGTCTATAAGATATATGATATGGACATAAGAGATCCTAGGAACATGAGATAAGAGATATGAATGATAATGACATATATGTATGTATATATATTTGTTACATGTAAAAGTATGAGTTGTATGAAATGATAGTAGTGATTGTTTATGTATGATTATTAGTTACCGTTTACCTTATATGTTTATTGCCTCACTAAGTCTTTGACTTAGCGTGTAAGTGATTTACACGTAGGTTTCGAGAAGTGTAAAGAACAATGTGGAGCAGGACAGGTCAGTTCTCCTTACTAAAGGTCAGATTAGAAAAGAGGTGAATAATATGTATTTTAGTATATAAAGTTCTAGTTGGCATGTTTTCAAAAGAATATATTGTTTAAGCTATGAACAATTTTATAAATGTTTGAATAGTTATATGTAAATAAATAAGTGAAATATACACACTCTGATTGGTTTTGTAATAATAAAAATGTCTTTTATGTAAATTAGTTATTTATATATTATAAAAGTTTTAAATTACTCACTATTTTATACAAGTACATGTTTTAAAAGGTCAATGTGACACCTCGGATTCGTATCTGGGTCGGATACGGGTTGGGGTGTTACAGTGTTTCTTGTATACACTCCTGTTAGCCACAAGCAAGTGGGGGATGGGGGTTAAGGTGCACTGGAGTTAACTATTCTATGGCCCGCCATAATCTAATTTGACAGGTTGTTGAAACTTGAAACTGCTAAACAAATCAAAGCCTCTTATTATCAGCATCACTCAGCAACGTGATTAATAAGTAGAAATATGATTATTCACTCTCAACACCTCAGACAGTTTGCACACTCTGCAGTGTATCATCAGTTGTTAGATTTCGCATGCTGAATTCAAATGGGTTACGATACTAGAGTTATTATGGTGGTTCAGATAATTTACGAGGAACATACCTGAAAACCTTGTGTGGTGCTCATACTAATAATCTTGTAGTGTTTTGAAAACTTGCATCTCTATACACCCATTCTAGCAGAGGAAGAAGATAATTTGACTTGCATGGAAGTTGAAGAGAAGAATAATGACTGAATGTCAGATTCTATCGGATGAAAACCTTATTCGGAATTACTTATTTTAGTTGATTAGATTATTATTTTAGAGTTTAGTAATTTTTATTGTCCATAATATAAAATTTTTGGTGCTAGATTAATTTCAACTTGAATATTATCTTTACACATCGAATATGGATGCAGGTTCAGGTATATGTGGGGGTCGATGCATCAATATCACGAGGTTCAGAACAATATTGTGCAGCAAATCCGTGGCCTTATAAACAGATCAGGAAAAGGTGATTCAACTTCCGAACTGCATCGGCAGGCAACACGTGATCTTGAGTCAGCCGTCTCTGCTTGGCACTCTAGTTTCCGTCGTTTAATAAAATTTCAACGGGATTTTATCCGCTCCCTCCATGGCTGGTTCAAGCTCACCCTTCTTCCTGTCAGCAATGACAATGGCAATGGCAGCACGGTGCCCTCTGATGCATATGCTTTTTGTGATGAGTGGAGCTTGCTCTTGACCGAGTCCCTGACACAAGCTATCAAAAGTTTTACCAATGTTGTCCACGTGATATCCGTTAAACAATCTGAAAAGCTTAAGAAGCTGTTAACTATTACGTGAATAGCAATGAATAGCAAATAAGTTGTTATTTGGTTGCAGAACAGGATTGGCACTCATCGCTATCGCACTCGTATTATCACTTCAAACGACGGTAGTGCTTGAGGATGAAATTCCCATATCTGTCAACAAGGCTTGAATCCAAACAATATCGGCCACAACATTCGCTAATGCACGATATTCAGCCTCAGTAGTAGTCGACCGAGAAGTTCTACCACTTGTACTCTATGGTCGGTATTGGCCTTCCTGATTCTGGGGCTGATCACGGGCAGGTACTGGATGCTCGGGATCCCCTGGCGGAGAAAAAGTCAGAGCTCTCAGCCCGTCAAAGGCGGGTGGAAGATGAGATGTTGAGGCATGCTAAAGCAGTAGAGGTGACAAGAGCAATGACACTGAATACTGTTCAAACAAGCTTGCCCGGGGATTTTCAAGCATTGTCCGGCTTTTCTGCCTTATTTACCGAGGCACTTGACTCGGTATGCTCCCGTTCCTATCATATCAAATAGATGAATACATTTTTCCTCTACGCGTGAAGAATTTTTTTAGGTTAAGTAGAAATTCGTAAGAGTCCTGTTGGCTCTTATAATTATTATTTGTTACCTGGGGAAGTGTAAATACATGGGAGGTGGTTTTTTGTGGTTTTGCCAATTATCAATTGTCAAGCAATGGCAAGTGTTTGCACAGAAAATTACCTCTCATTCTTCATTCTTGTGTCCCAAAAAGGTAAAAAGAAAAGTTGCAATTTCAGCAGATTAAGTAAAGATGGATTTGAAAGTAAAAGAAAAAGGACCCTTTGTCTTTGGTCCATTTAAGGTTTGGCATATGAATGTAGTGTTTATACCACTTTGTGTTTTGCAATGAGCAAGAATTTTCATTGATTTTAAGGAGTGAGCTGAATCATCTCAAGTGTATGTACTATCACAGCAAACTCTTGAATCGATTTTCGAGTAATATAACACATCATCCTCT